TACCGTAGAACAGTTGTGTGACATTACTTCTCATCGTAACACTTGCCTGTCACTATTCTAGCAAGTATGATTACAGCAGAACAGTTGTGTGACATTACTTCTCATCGTAACACTTACCTGTCACTATTCTAGCAAGTATGATTACAGCAGAACAGTTATGTGACATTACTTCTCATCGTAACACCTGTTACTATTCTAGCAAGTATGATTACAGTAGAACAGTTGTGTGACATTACTTCTCATCGTAACACTTACCTGTCACTATTCTAGCAAGTATGATTACAGCAGAACAGTTATGTGACATTACTTCTCATCGTAACACTTACCTGTCACTATTCTAGCAAGTATGATTACAGCAGAACAGTTATGTGACATTACTTCTCATCGTAACACCTGTCACCAAGTAATGTCACACAACTGTTCTGCTGTAATCATACTTGCTAGAATACTCATCGTAACACTTACCTGTCACTATTCTAGGAAGTATATATTTTTGCTTTTTTATTTGTTACTAAGTGCTGTACTGACCATGAGTATCAAAACCTGGTTTTCAGTGTTATAAGCCTTCAGACTTACCAATAGGTGGACACAAGTATCTAACACAATATTAACCCACTAACTGCCGATTCTTCATATAAAAAGGTACGATCTTCCTCCAGCAGATGAATGGTAGTGTGCTGTATATGGTGTACGGTGAACAAAAGCTCTGCACACATTTAGAGCAGCCACAGTCAATGAGTTAAATAAGAAAAAAATGTTACTGCCTTTTACTAAAAATACCACACCCACTTCTTGTTTCACGGTGAAATCCATACTCTTTTTTTAGTTTATCAACACAATCCACAGCTCATAACTTGTCTCAGTGTTTGGTGGTGTTCCATGAAACCCATACGTTTTTTAGTTTATCAACACAATCCATAGCTCATAACTTGTCTAAGAGTTTGGTGGTGTTCCTTGAAATCCATACTTTTTTTAGTTTATCAACACAATCCATGCCCTAGACCTTGTCTCAGTGTTTGGTGGTGTTCCATGAAACCCATACGTTTTTTAGTTTATCAACACAATCCATAGCTCATAACTTGTCTAAGAGTTTGGTGGTGTTCCATGAAACCCATACGTTTTTTAGTTTATCAACACAATCCATAGCTCATAACTTGTCTAAGAGTTTGGTGGTGTTCCTTGAAATCCATACTTTTTTTTAGTTTATTAACACAATCCATAGCTCATAACTTGTCTAAGAGTTTAGTAGCATTTCTCGTTCAATTCCAAATGTTTGTAAAATAATTTACAAAATCATAATCCAGAAACATTTCAACTTTAATATCAATATGTATTAGAAGACCTAAAGGAAGTTGACCACTTTTCTTACCAATTAGATACTGTGATCTCGGAATCGTTTACAACTACTAGAATTGGATATTTTTCCACAAAACTGCAATGGAAAAATCAGTTTGATTTTGTTTGTTTCAAGAATTTCTCAAGAGATATCTCTCCATAGCTGTCCCTAGTTTTGAACTTGTTACAATACCAGAGTATCAGTTTACAAGTGTCCCATTATACAATTTTGGAATAAAAGTAGGCCTCCCACGAATGTAAATATTGTGAATGTAACTTTCTTGTACAATCAATAAAAAGTACAGCAAATATTTGATTCTTTCTTAACAACCAACCTCAGTCGGAACTGTTCAATGTCGTGCATCAGACAAAACCCACTTGGCCTTCCGCAGTATGCTTTCCAAACCAAGCATGTCGAGTCAATGACATTACCAAACATTATAGGTGAAGGAATATATCCTGAAAAACAAATATGAATCTTTATTGTATAAATATCTACCAGGGCTGTTATTCTAAGCTTCATCAGATAGTTAAGTCACGTTGTTACTTCTGGTGCTATCCTAAATAATTTATACAGACTATCAAAACCTAAACAGAATTATAATTAGTTTCTAATTCTGGGCTTTTTATATAATATTTCAAGTACTGTATGTATGGAATAACCCATAATGAATAAACCATAATAACCCATAAAGAACCAAATCAACAAAGGTTATTGTGTGAATGAATACATTTTTCAAGTTGGTAAAGTATTATTCTAATTAATTAATTACTCTTGTCATAAGAAATTAGGCTTATTATCTTTGTTTTTTAATATAACAGGCATAAAACTAATGTCTTATAACAAGTATAATTAATAATTAACTCATAAACGATTTTAATGCATTAACAATAGTAACTGTTTTAATGCATCTCCCTCTTTCTTCACTGAGTCTCAACATAAGCATAAAAAAATCTCTAAAGGGAGTCTAAAATAAAATATGGTAATTAAAACAGGAGTGGTTAACTTTGTTAATGATATGTTGAATAACACACCTACACCATCCTTGATGGTTAACTTTGTTAATGATATGTTGAATAACACACCTACACCATCCTTGACGGTTAACTTTGTTCATGATATGTTGAATAACACACCTATACCATCCTTGCTTTTACACGTCCCAGGATAAAAATGCTGCTTTTGCACGTCCCAGGATAAAAACGCTGCTTTTACACATCCCAGGATAAAAACCCTGCTTTTACACGTCCCAGGATAAAAACCCTGCTTTTACACGTCCCAGGATAAAAACCCTGCTTTTACACGTCCCAGGATAAAAACGCTGCTTTTACATGTCCCAGGATAAAAACACTGCTTTTACATATCTCACAATTTTGACTTGAAACAGATAAAAACACTGCTTTTAAACGTCCCAGTATAAAAACCCTGCTTTTACATGCCTCATACAATTTTTACTTGAAACAGATAAAAACACTGCTTTTACATATCTCACAATTTTGACTTGAAACACATAAAAAACACTGCTTTTACATGTCTCCATTTTTACTTGAAACAGACAGTGCTGCACATCATCTGTATTTAAAATCTCTGGCTATTTGTTCAAGTTCAGCGATGTGACACTTTAGATCTTTAAAACTATAAATATAAATGTATTTATGAAATATCTTTTTAAAAATCAAAGGACTTGAAAAGACAGAAAAACACATTGAGTTCTTATCTATTTTAACTGGCACATTAGATGACTTTCTCCTGAATTGAAAATAGCAATAATTATTTTTATTAATCCATCCATCAAACATAAAGAATGAGTATGTTTATAATTACTGTATTTTTACACACACAGTAGAAACATCAGTGTGCTGGAGAGATCGTGGATTAAAGAAACTTGTTAATGTCACAAACTATTCAGAACATCGCAAGTACTTAAATTTTGGGAAATGTAACAAAAACACATGTATCTATTTTCCAAACAATTATTATACATTCTTTTTAACATTAAATCTGGTGTATTTAACAAGTTTTTGAATATATCAGTGTCTATAAAATACAAATACATTTACTTTAAAATAAGTCTGTAAACGTTAAGAAGGTAAATATCAAATACAGTTTTCACCCATAAATAAAATACCTGGACTAATGAAATACTAAAATATAAAGTTGGTCCCAACACTGACTATGCTTGCATTTAAATTTATGGAGTTTGTTACTTTCAAATATATGAATTTTAAAATCTAAATTATTTATGAAAGCTGTATTTAAGATGTCTTTTTTTTTATGCCTTTTTGTCCTAGATAATTGATTACTCTTGAAACTACATTATTTTGAAATAACTTATTTCTTAAAATTACTTCTCTTAACTATTATAGTTCTGGCTATAAAGAAAAAGATTCTTTATATATTATATATATAGTAATGGCTTTTAATAAAAATGTGATGCATTACGAAGCTTTGGACACTTGTTTCCTATAAATACGAGATACGCATAAGTTAGGAAAACTACAAGAAAGTTCAGTGAGTTTTACAAGTTTCATATAAATATGGAAACATCCACATCTACATCCTCAGCATGATTGGTTTTCCAGTTTATGTTACAAGGAAAACTGATGGGGAGGAAGAGATTTTATGAGATTCTTAATCTCGCATCTTCTCACAGACGAAATGACAGTACAACTTTGCAAAATATTTACTGAATCACTGTTGAAAATTTGAAGATAAATAGTAGCATATCATTCAAGCTATTGTATGGTATGTTTCATGATATGGCCAAGCAGTTCATCAAAATATTGGGGTTAATTATTTGATGTTGAGGTTTAAATACTATAGTTTTATGATACATACTATAGTTTTACAAATATTAAATGAATTCCTACCAAACAGCCGGAAAATAACAAACTGCATCCCTAAGGCAAAGGATCGTTCCTCTTCACTAACAGATCTAGAAGATCAAATAGATCATACTTAAAGCAATTAGCTCAAGGATGTAAGAATATGTGATAAATAAATATATATATAAACAAGAAATACCAGATTTAATCTTTTAATCCATTAATTAGAGTATTATAGTTAAGACTGATCAGAATAATAAACAAATTAATTCAAATATTAAATAATTTATGTTTTATTCACATTCATTAACAGAAAATAATTTCAAATTTTAAATGAATAAAAATACCATTTCAGATCTATTTCATTTCCCATAAGTCACTGTCAAGAACTCATCATCTAGGCTACACTTGTTCAGTGCCAGAACTCATCATTTAGACTAAACGTGTTCAGTACCAGAACTCATGTTCAGTGCCAGAACTCATCATTTAGACTAAACGTGTTCAGTACCAGAACTCATGTTCAGTGCCAGAACTCATCATCTAGGCTACACTTGTTCAGTGCCAGAACTCATCATCTAGACTACACGTGTTCAGTGCCAGAACTCATCATCATCTAGGCTACACGTGTTCAGTGCCAGAACTCATCATCTAGACTACACGTGTTCAGTGCCAGAACTCATCATCTAGACCACACGTGTTCAGTGCCAGAACTCATCATCTAGACCACACGTGTTCAGTGCCAGAACTCATCATCATCTAGCCTACACTTGTTCAGTGCCAGAACTCATCATCTAGCCTACACTTGTTCAGTGCCAGAACTCATCATCTAGACTACACTTGTTCAGTGCCAGAACTCATCATCTAGACTACACTTGTTCAGTGCCAGAACTCATCATCTAGGCTACACGTGTTCAGTGTCAGAACTCATCATGTAGGCTACACTTGTTCAGTGCCAGAACTCATCACCTAGGCTACACGTGTTCAGTGCCAAAACTCATCATCTAGGCTACACTTGTTCAGTGCCAGAACTCATCATCTAGGCTACACTTGTTCAGTGCCAGAACTCATCATCTAGGCTACACACTTATGGTAGTCAAATTGCATCTAAAAGGCTGTGTGTCTACAAGAAACTTACTATTATGAATAAAAAACACAAAAGCAGGCATACCAATAAATCTCATTAAATAAAACATCTGTTCACTTACCTGAGGGTTATCATCAGTACAGGCATCTGCATGATTGAGACAACCAGTGTCATGATAAAAAGAAGAACCATGAAAGGAATCATAGCTTTGCACACCTGTGGACAGGAGCCATATGTAGCGAGTGGAACTGCCGTTACATCTCGAAGTATAGTTTTGTTTGTTGGAATACAAGCACAGCTGGTAAAGTTCTGTAACAATATGTCACACACATGAAAAATTGTTTTATAATCTGTACGTACATACATCTCATTACAAAGAAAGATTGAATTTAGATAGGTAAGTTATATTCAAGAAAAAGCTTAGTCTTAAAAACTGTGTAAGCAAGTCCTATAGAAGGGGTCGATCCATGAAACTGACCACAAGACTCAGTACTTCTACATCATTAAAACATGCATGAGCTGCTTTAAAATAAAACTATTGCCATCAATGATTGTATGACCTTTAAAGTACTGAAAGACATATGAAAACTGCTGATACTTTTAGCATATAAGTCACAAAATAAGGAGCACTTTTAAAAGATTGATCTTCTCACTTCAACGAAAGGTCTATCCCCAAAAGAACTCAGGTATTCAGGTTTTGCATTTTGTCTAATTTTTGACCCTATGCAATTTTCTAATATCATGTAACAAAATAAGTTTTTAAGGTGCTTTTATGAAACATTTCAGAGTGGATCTTTTTTTTTCCCTAATATTTGATTATTATGTATAGTTTTTCTCGGAAATTCCTACATTCCAGGATTTGGATGATACTTGTCTTTCTATATTAGTAAATCACAGATGTGGGATCTTCATGCCTTGAAGAATGGTTCCCCAAAATCTTTCAATATTTTATCTTTTTTTCTTAAGATCTACATAATCTTTTCAAAAATAACCCAACACTCGATATTTCTGTTTACAAGATGTAAAACAAGGGAGACTCAATGTTTCTCAAAGTAGCTGCTTGAACACTGCTGCTGAGAAGTGGTAACCGAACCAAAATGTCTAATATGAGAATTGGGTCATCAGTCAGTAGAATTAACAAAGCTGGAGATGCATGCTCTTTGCAAATGAATCCAAATTTGATTTAACTGGCAATCTGGCAACGATCAACAACAAGTTGTTTGAAAGCAGTGAAAACATTCGTATTATAATAAATGTTTGAAGCTGTCAGTGATCCACACAAAACTGATAGCACCCCGACTGCTGACAAGTACAGGCAGGTTCTGATCCATCCATAAAGTAGAAATGGTGAAATGTTTTCTTTATGATCAAGAGGCTGATGAAACATTCAAAATCATGTCTTATTTTTCATAAAATCCTTATATAAACATTCTTGAGACATATAGAAACTTAGCTTAATTGTGAAGAGTAATACAGAACAATTGGAAAAATAATGTATAATTGTAAATTGATAAACTGTATGGCAGTATTAAAAGAAGATGCATAGTAAGTTTCAGTGTATAGTAAATGGCTCACATGCAAAATTCTTCTACATTGTACAATTTACTAGCTTTTCTTATTTATTTTCTGTGATAGTTTTGTACCATTAATTAATTCAGCATCTAGCTGTCATTACTCAAATTTTGTGAGTTCTCTTTGTGTATCACTTGTGTGCTTCCATAATTATTTCAATTAGTGGATACTAAAAATATAAAAGGCATTTCATCTGTTTAATATCTTCTTTACTTCAGTAAATTAACTCCAAATGTCATGAAGTTGAAAGTTTCCATTAAATACCTGTATTATGCCTATCCCTTGAATACGGTCGTTATCAAGTCGACATCCAGCATGGCAAGGAGAAAAGTACGTTATTCCATTTCGGCCACACACAGGTTCAATTTCATAAGGAGTACACTGACACCCGAGGTTACAGTCAGCAGTGAGATTCACTTGAAAGTGGTCAAACTCAGTGCTGTAAAAGTGAATTAATCTACCGATAAAACACCTTCTTACGATACAAAGGTGCAGGATTTATCATAACTTTCATTATAAAATCTAAATCACTTACAGGAGGTACATTTATTATTTTTCAGTGTTCTATGTTTGATCTACATTTTAACAACTCAAACAATCTTTAAAAAAAAAGTGTTTCCATTATCATCAGTTTAAAACAAAGTGGTGTAAAGTAAAACTTGGAGGAATGTTGTTGTTTCCATTATTATCAGTTTAAAACAAAGTGGTGTAACGTAACACATGGAGGAATGTTGTTGTTTCCATTATTATCCGTTTAACACAAAGTGGTGTAAAGTGAAACTTGGAGGAATGTTGTTGTTTCCATTATTATCCGTTTAACACAAAGTGGTGTAAAGTGAAATCTCTGATAATAATGGAAACAACAATATTCCTCCAAGTTTCACTTTACACCACTTTGTGTTAAACTGATAATAATGGAAACAACAACATTCCTCCACCACTTTGTGTTAAACATTCCTCCAAGTTTCACTTTACATTGTTGTTTCCATTATTATTATCCGTTTAACACAAAGTGGTGTAAAGTGAAACTTGGAGGAATGTTGTTGTTTCCATTATTATCCATTTAACACAAAGTGGTGTAAAGTGAAACTTGGAGGAATGTTGTTGTTTCCATTATTATCCATTTAAAACAAAGTGGTGTAAAGTGAAACTTGGAGGAACGTTGTTGTTTCCATTATTATTATCCATTTAACACAAAGTGGTGTAAAGTGAAACTTGGAGGAAGGTTGTTGTTTCCATTATTATCAGTTTAACACAAAGTGGTGTAAAGTGAAACTTGGAGGAATGTTGTTGTTTCCATTATAATCCATTTAACACAAAGTGGTGTAAAGTGAAACTTGGAGAAATGTTGTTGTTTCCATTATTATCCATTTAACACAAAGTGGTGTAAAGTGAAACTTGGAGGAATGTTGTTGTTTCCATTATTATCCATTTAAAACAAAGTGGTGTAAAGTAAAACTTGGAGGAATGTTGTTGTTTCCATTATTATCCATTTAAAACAAAGTGGTGTAAAGTGAAACTTGGAGGAATGTTGTTGTTTCCATTATTATCCATTTAGCAAAAAGTGGTGTAAAGTGAAACTTGGAGGAATGTTGTTGTTTCCATAATTATTATCCGTTTAGCAAAAAGTGGTGTAAAGT